CCTAAAGCTAGAGGGATACCCAAAGGATTTTTTTTCGTATTCTTCAAAGTCTAGTAATTTTACTAGAATATGTCTTGTGTTCGTTATTTTGAGTCAGCATTCTCCCTCTCAGGTACGCATCACTAGAAAGATCTAGTGATCTTTCAATATCTAGTTTCATATCATTTTATTTTAATTCAGGAAAGTTTTCTTGAATCATAGTTTTTAGTATTTGTTCATTCCTTTGATTTGGTTTTCTTCTTCAGGGACTCCTATCATCCATATGTTTGATCTTTCTATCCTATTTTCATTATTTGTTACTTTCTCTGGAATACTTTATATTTCTTTCTTCATTTCTTTTTTATTTTTTAGAAAAATTTTCTTCTTTTTTACCTTCCATTTTTCTTAGGCATTATCAGTTTTTTTGCCCTTGTATTCTCTTTAGTTTAGTCTTCATTTATGTAATATTGCTTTCTTCATTTCTAATTCTTTCCTGAGCGCTGTCACCTCATGTCTGAGTTTTTCTAATGCTGCTTTGTGTGGTTCTTTCCTGGCATGTATTAACCTTTTAATGTCTTTTAGCTTGTTTTAAAATAATAGTTTTGTTCTGTTTTGTGGACACATCTTTCTGATGTTCTTTCATTATCTGTAGGGAAGTTATTCTGCTCTGTTTTCTCTTTTTTCTTAATGATAACTTTGTATTGGTCTTGACCTTGGTAATTTGCTGTTGCTCATTTTTATGTGATATTAATTTTCCTGAACTTTTACAATGAGTCAGCGTTCAGAAAATCGTGTCCAACTTCAGAGATCTCCATCTCCCCTTGTTTTTATGAAGTGCTAAAAAATACAGCAGTGCTCTTGGGGTTTCCTGACTCTGCTCCTCTTTCTAGCTGTTAGGCACTTGAAATACGGCTCATGTGACTGAGAAGCTGAATTTTAAATTTTAATTAATTTTAGCAATTAAATTAATTTAATTATTTAATTTATTAAATTAATTTAATATTTAAATTAAATAATTTAAATAAAATAAATTTAATTTTAATTGAATTGCTTAAATTAATTTAATTAACTTAAATTTAAGTAACCACACTGGCTACCGTATTGGAGAGTGCTCCTCTAGCCTTTCACTCTCCACTGTCTGTTCTGCTCCATCCCACTCAATTTTGATTTCCCTCAAAGCAGTTTCTTATTATGGGACCCTCTCCTGGAAGGGAGTCCTGGAGGGTCAGTTTTAAGATATCAGGGGGCGAGATCACTTCTGCCCTTCAGTCATTCTCACTGTTTCAGTTACTGTTATAAAATTGGCCTGCAGTGTTTTTAAGTGAATAACTGGAGGAGAACATCTCGGGTTCTCCTGTCCATCAGATGCTGCTCTATTGCTTCTGTCCCTCCCCCTACAGAATTGTTTAGAAATACACATCTTATGGCTCTCGACCTCACCTCTTGTGTTTTGGCATTTACAGAGATAACTTGTCACCTAGTCTGATTGTAAAGGTTGTCTATAGGCTTTTGGTTTTGCTAACCAGTTGATCTGGTTTTTGTCTTGTTTTGTTTTTTTTAATGTGGGTTGTCAAAGAGATTGAAAATTATGCTGCCACTGCCACCATTTTCCTAAAATGCTTTGAATAATATATTTTTAAATAAGGTTTTTCCATTAAGAAATATGTCAAGCTTACCATGGAATATTTTTTAAAGGAAGGAAGGAATCCCCATGGACACATCAATCAAAGACAAACCACTGCTGACATTTTAGTGTATTTTCCTCATGTTCCTTTTCTGTGCACGGTATTTTTGTATAGTTGTGAGCATAATGTATATACAATTCTATATACTATTTTGTTCCCATCATGTTAATAATTGCTTACTATTGCAAAAATTCTTAAGTATTATTGTTCAGAACCTATGATAAATCTATCATATGGATCATCCATTATTTACTTAGCCAATCCCCAATGTTTGGTCAATTACAACATTTTTTATAGGTAATAGTTTGCTCTGAAATATGTTGGTGTATCCCTATAGAACAATGTGTAATCCTGTACAAGCTGCTAATGAGCAATAATAGCTATATCAGTAGCACAGGAGTTCCTCTAACAGGTGTTAATAAATGATTAACATTTCTAAAGATGACTCCTGGGACCACATTAATAATTGAGGAGGCAGGTGTAGTTGTCTCTATCTTGAAAACTCACCTGACATGGTGTAGAAAACTTTTCCATTGGTATTTCCTTTCCCCAGTGCTCACAGTATGTTTACCGTGTGTGTGTTTATATGCACATATGTATATGTACGTGTGTGTGCCTGTGTATTTATAATCAATTGTCTGTATCTCTAGCCCAGATCTTTCATTTGACCACCAGACGCAGATCCAATTGTCCTTGCAAAATCAATACATATAAAACTAAAACCATTAACTTTCTCAGTCTTCCTTCTCTTCTGTTTCTTACTTTAAGAAGTGAGTTACTTTCACCATACCAGTCATCAAAAATAGATTCCTGAGAGTCATTCTAGATTCCCTATCTTCCCTCCCTTCAAACCAATCAATCAATACCAATAATTTCTACCTTTTAATATCATCGGTTACTCCATTTAACTCTCTACCCTGATTGCTACTGCCTTACTTTGGCCCTCATCCTATTTCATGTGGGATATAGCTAGCATTTCCCAAGTTTACCAACGATTTCCTTTCTGTTAAATCCAATGGGCATTCGACTCTTCCCTACAACTGACATTGTCGACTAATTCCTTCTTGAATTTTCTCTCTTGGTTGCTAGGACTCTACTCCAAATTTTTTTCTTACCCTCTGACCAGCCCTCATCTCCTTTCTGTGCTTCTTTCGCTCAGCTTCGCTCAACTGTAGTTACTGATACTCTCTTTTATTTTGCAATCTCTGAAGCTGATCTTATTCCACCCTATGGCTTTCAATTGGGATGTAGGATGTTACTCTTAAATCACCGTTCCAGTCTAGGTCTCATCTCTAAGATTGATATTTGGATACTTCACTTCAATATCCCAACCTCAAACCCAATATATTCAAAATTGTATCCCTTATCTCCACCACCCCCCAAAGAGAGCACGACTAAACAAAATCCTGCTCTTCATCCCATATTTTCTCTTTTTCTGACGCATCTGCATAGGTGATCAAGCCAGAAACATGTGCGCCATCTTCTATTCATTCCTCTGTCAACAAATACATCTAGTCATCAAACAGTGCCAGTTCTAACTCCTTAACATCGCTTTAGCTTAACACTGGAACAGCTAAATAAGGACTCACAATCTAATCTAACACTTATCTACCTTAATTTTATTTTCTATATAATTGGCACAGAAATGAGTCCAGATAGAAATCACTGAATTTCAACCTCTATCCTTGCCGATTATAATACACACAAAGTGATGTTGGGAGGGTTGGGAGGAAAGAGAGAGAAGAGCAGAAAATGACAGTAAAAAAAAAAATGTTTCCAGATCTTTTTCTTAGTGTCATCTCTGAAATCCCTTCAAATAAACCCAAAATTTATGTTACAACATTTGTTTGATGCTTTATATAAACTGTTTTACTAGACATTGTCCATCTAAGTTCCCCAAAAGAGATCAAATTGCCTTGTCATAGCTAAACCTCATGTTCAGGGAGCTTACACCAGGTAAACTTTGCAGGGCCCTAAACGTTTTAGAATGGTTTGAGAAATGGGGTGGGAAAGTTGTACTTTAAGTGAGAAGAAAACTTCATGTTCCATTTTGGTCATTCCATTTTTAGTTTATTAACAAGATAAGGAAAAACATGCACATTATAAATCAATGCTCTGTTGAACAATGTTAACAAATAGCCAAGTAAGCAAGGTTGAAATTGTTGGCTAACATGAATTTTGGGTGTTTTCAGTTACCAAATTTCCAGAGGCAAAGTGGAGAGACATCTGGACCCAAATATCTACTTTATTTGGGACTTTTTTTTTTTTTTGTAAAAGTAGACGCCGGATTAGGAGATCACATGCTGTCTACTCATAATGATTTTTTTTGTCATTACCACAAAGCCAAAAGAAAGAAAAAACAAAGGACTCTTCTCTTCTACTTAGTCAAAATGCTGTGTTGACAGTCCCAAACCTGCTGGAGACCTGCTTCAAGACTCACGAGCACTAGACTAAGAAATTGGGCAGTTTCCTGAACCGCTGAGGTCCTCAGTATCCTGCAAAATAAGAAAGCTAGACTCAATACTCCGAGGATTCCTTCCAGATCCACCAATCTGATGGTATTCATTCCAATTGCTCCTGAATGAGGCCATGAGACGGTTCCAGCTCTGGTGCTTCAGTCCTGCTTGTTACACCTATGAAACTCTGCCTCACCAAAGCATGAGACACATGAGCAGCCTCACGCCACCTCACTTGGCAGGGATGAAGAACAAGCCTCTAGAACTTCCAGAGGAATGACACAACCTGCCTCTGAAGTGATTCACATCATCCTCATTTTTGAACAATCAAATGCTAAGAAAACATACATAACAATCTTCATCGACATTAAGGCTATAAGACAAAGTTCCTTGCCAGGGCTTGGGACTATGGAGAAAAGCATTCGAGAAAAGGCCAGTTCCACCACGCAATAGGGAAATTAGGGTGCAATGCCCATCACAGGGATTCCTAACTATCTCCGCAATCTCTTGTCTTTCTCTTTGCCCTGAAAATAACCCAAGAAGCTAGTAGTGGGATAAGTACTCCCCAGGACACATATCTAAGGTCCCAGGCAAACACAGGTACAAGCTGCCAGAATAGAAAGAGCCTTTCCTCATCTCCAGCTGGAGGCAGGCTGGGCCCCAATTCTTTAGGAGCGGGTCGGCAGATGCCCGGTGCACCCGCAGAGATCAGGTCAGGGCACACTCCTTAGGGCGCCGCCCCGGGCGAGGCCCCGCCCCTCACCTTGCCAGCGCCGCGCTCGGGCCGCGAAGGTGCGTGCGGCGCTCGGTGATTGGCGGCTGCCCGGCGCTGCCCGGCTTCCATTGGCTGCCTGGGCCTCTTTGTTCCCGGTCCCCGCCGCAGGCCTGCTGCGGCGGACTGGGCGGCGGAAGTTTGACGGCGCCGGCGAGTGGCTGCGGCGGTGGTGCCGGAGTCCCGCCACATAACTCCCATCGTGGTACCCGCAGCGGGGCCGGCGGCCAGGCGAGCCTGGGCGTGAGATCGCGGCCGGAAGGAGGAGCCCCTCTGACACCCAAACATGGACCTGGAGACCAAAGTGAAGAAGGTAAGGGGGCGCGGGCGGCGGGCAGCGGCTGCTTCACCTGCGCGGGGCGCCGCCCCCTGGCTGCCGGCGGCGCGAGCCGGCTCCCGGTCTCCGGAGCCCCGGGCCCGGTACCCGCCCCTCCTGGTAGAGGGGGTGCCCTGCGGCCCCACTAACTCCTGAACCCCTGGAGCGACGGCGAGTTGGGCGCGCGAGGGCGGGCGCAGGACATTTCTCTTCCGTCTGACCACGTCCAACGGTTGGAGGTGTCTGAAACTTTCCTTAAGATGTTTCAGCTGCGCCTGTGCCTCCCCGAAAGAAAAGGATGAGTTTGGGGCGAGTTTGGGCGAGAACGTAACGCTTCTTCCTGTCTCAGGAAGTTCAACTCTGTGGTTTAGGGGCACTGATGTGGCTTTGACAGCTCAGACCTCCTCCCCTCCCAGCTTGGCTGCCCGGGGCTCGCTAGAGTGAGTGCTGATTGAATGCACTTCCTTCTCACCCGCGGCTGGTGATAACGTGAAAGGTGATGATTTTTCTTCTTCTTCTTCTTTTTTTTTTTTTGGTCATTCATTAGTTGACTTCCAAAGCACTGCCTCCCTTTTAGGGAGTTATCTCTGAAAGAAAACATTCATCCTCGTTGGCAGCTAGCCCCAAGTGGCGATTGTCACCAGTGTTTTTAGCGCCTGGAGACGTTTCCCGCCTGGCTGCCCCCGGGCGTCAGAACCCACAGCCCTACCTGCGCCACTCCCTGGTTATGGGAGCCTCACGTCTCCTGGGAGAAAGGGGTGGGGACCAGACTGTGACTCAGAAAGAATGCTGATGTCACATTCCAGTGTAACGTTCTGTGCGAAAGATCTGGCTCCAGGCTCATATTTACTTTGCGGTAAATTTAAGGTAGCTGTCCCTTATCAAATAGGGAAGGAAGTTTTGCAGAGAAAGGGGAAAAAATAGAACTTAATTTTCTTCTCCTGCTCACTATCGTTGCCAGTATTGCTGTTATTTCATCTTCTAAAGGCAAAGTTCCTGACTTGAGCATTAATTCTGTTTCATGCTCAGAACTGGATTTTTTGAAAATGTACGAAGTCCAAAATATTAGGTTAGGAAGCTGTTGAAGAATGAAAAGTTGCAATGGGAAAACAGTCCGTTATGACTAGAACCAGCACTCAAAAGGGAATTCAAGGACAGGAAAACATAACATAAATCCTAAGAATTGCATTCTATTCTCTTCCCATTTGGTTTCTTATTCTTTTCTTTGCTTTTAAATGACACTAATTTTTTTGTTAATCCTTCTTGCCACCAGGAAAGCATTTTGTCTGCCACTTAGTTAGCTTTCTGTGGATGAACACTGCTTATCTTGTTTTTCAAGTGTGTGAGAGCTACTTAATTTAGTACTTGTCTAAAATTTGGGGGTCTTGTTTGTGCTTTTAAGTATTGATTCAAAAACTACTTTTTAAAAGTCAGCATCCTTTAGGGAGGAGGGAAGGGTGAATAGGTGAAGCACAGAGGGTTTTTTAGGGTCCTGAAACTATCCTGTAGGGTGCTATAATGTCATTATATATTTATCAAAACCCATAGAATGTACACCACCAAGAGTGAACCCTAATGTAAACTATGGACTTTGAAGGTTATTGATGTGTCAATGTAGGGTCATCAGTTGTAACAAATGTGCTACTCTGTTGTGGGATATTGATATTGGGGGAGGGGGCAAGGAAGTAAATGGGAACTCTGTACCTTTTGTTCAGTTTTGCTGTGGACCTAAAACTGCTCAGAAAAATAAAATCTACCTAAAAGGGAAAAAAAGTCAACATCCAAAAGTTATTTTGAAATTGAGACAATGAAGAATATTTCTGAGGGAGAAAGTCCAAAGAATTGTATGTGCTTGCAAGGGAAAAATCCAGACATTATTTATAAACAATTTCCTTAGTTTTAAATGTGGATTATGATAGATAATGCCCTTGATATACTGTGTAATTTTTCTCCTCCATCTCCCCTTTACTCCAAGAGTTTTATCCTTCTCTCTAATCCTCCTGCTCCTCTCCTTCTCCCACCCCCAAGAAAACGGATTCCATAAATTTCAAGCTTTTACAGATAATCCAAGGACAATAACAAATTCTTGCTTCGCTACTTTGTTATCACTGGTGATTCTCAGGGCAGAACCCTCAATCAGTAAATTGGAAACTACTAAAAGACCTCAAAGATGTCCAGTTTGACTGCCAACCATACCCTCTCAGGGCCGTATAGTACCCTCGACAGACTTGCTCTCTGTGGATTTGACAGAAAGTTTCTTAGTACAAAGTTTGGAGATCCCAGGAATACATTTCATAGTCTTAGTCAAAATCTCAAAAAGAAACTTACATTCCCTTTAGAAATTGTTTTCTAACACACTGGAAGAAGGAAACATTGCAAGACTATCTGTGATCTACTAGCTGTACCTTCTCATCCTGTTTTGGTACCTAGATAGTTTTCATGTCTCCTTTGTTTTTGACTTGGGTATACAGGAAAAGTAATACACAGTTTGAATGTACCTTTAGAAAAGCCAGATTGGAAGTTGGAACAAAGGCATAACAATTTAAATAAAACTAAAATCTTCTGTTTTAAGATACATGGCATTTTTTCCTTCTAAAACCCTTATAATGTTGATTTCATAAGGAGTTTTCCCCAGGCAGATGAAAAATGTTACCTATTTTTTTTCCTTAACATTTTGTGTAAAAAGAATTAAAGAGGGTTCTCTTTATTCTACAACAATCTAGGTGGATGATACTGTTATAGGATTCTTGGTCTATAAAAGGAGAAGTTGGTGTCCATATCATTTGCACAAATTTGGATTAATTCCCAGTTAAAACCCACCATCACAAAGACAAGAGATTTTTATAATTAGGTTTTGCTATATTTTGTTTTGTTTGAAGTAAGTGAGCTGTTGCTAGGATGTGGGAGCTGGTTTGGTTATACAGAGTTTTTGTTTTAATAATATTTTAAAGTAGAATTTGACTTTTATGTCTTTGCCCTGTCTTCTGAGTTATGCGTCTAGATCTCTTCCTTATGTCTTACATCTCTTCATTATAATTGACTCTATGTAAGAAAATCCCATGTCTGCTTGGAAAAAAACAATGGCCTTTGAGAAGCAGAAACAGAGTCTCATTTTGTGGTGAATGGTAAATCATGGCCCACAGCCAGCTGTTTTCCTCTTTCCTTTCTGTGTTACTGTCCCAGGAGAATCACTTTTTTCTTTAAAAGCATACCAGGGAGAAAGAGAACCCTGGCAATTTCCCTTAAGCTGCCTGAAATTGTTGCAGGGCTTTTGATTTTGCACCTTAATCACTTTTTGCCTTCTTTCTAACCTCTGTCTTTTGATCCCAACATCTTGCATATTTTTCTTAGGACTCTTCTTTGTTTCTTGAATTTTATTTTTAAAAGATGAGATGCATTTTAAAGATTACAGGTCACTAAAAATCCTCTTTCTCAGTCTCCAAACTTGTTTCAAAAGTTTCTGTCATTAGCCAAAAAAACATAGTGAAACCAAGTGATTGCAATTGGAAAGAGTACTGAACCACAAAGATTATTTCCATTGGAAATTAGAATGAGCCTTTTCTCTTAGGTGGCCCCTGGTTGAAGTGGAAAAGACAAGGAAATGGTGACCTGGATGCTCAAATCTACAGTTTGATTCTCTGCTTGAAGCCGTTCTTGCTGCGAGAATCATTGGCAAGACTAGGGCTAACGGGAGGGCAAGGTGCTTCCAAAGCTTTGCTTTAGAGGCAGTTACTCTGTCTCAGAACAAGTACAGAAGAAAGTAAAGTCCTAGCTGGGCTTTTATCTATTCTAACCCATGGTGTGATTCATTACATTAATTGGATATGAAAAGTCACTTTCTCTAACTTGCCCTGACTATTGGTTTGAATAGAATATAGTAAGTTTTCTATTGATTTTGTTCCTTTATGCTATCCCATGAAGTAGAATTGGGGATTTATATCTCTACTGGCTGTCAGCTGTGTAGCATCGCCTTACCCCTTGACTTTGCTTGCTCATCTACAATACTAAATCTTACTCATCCTTCAAGACACTCCCCCAACCCCATGCACCATCCTCCAGGAAATCTTTTCTTCTTATTCCTAGCTAAATGCAAAATCTCTATTTTCCAAATTCCCAAAGCATGTTATCTGTAACTCTTAAGACATTCATCACTTTCTCCCTCTAGATTATAGTTTTCTTCTTACCTAGATTGCTAACTTCTTGAGAGATGAATTCATATCCTATTTATACATGCATAGTTATTTTGTTTGCTGTTCAAAACAATCTTAGAAGTAGACCTTAGCCTCATTTTAAGGATAAAGAAACCGAGACTTAGATAGGTTAATCTCACACTGGCAGAACCTAAGTATGATCTTGAACTTTAGTCTTCAGAATCCACGCTCCTTCCATCATGCCACCTAGCCTCTAGGTTCTCTTATATCCCTGCCTTGCTCATTAAATATATGGTGAATGAATTACCAGATTATAGAAAGAGAAATAACAAAAGATACATTTCAACATTTTTGTTTGTTTAAAGGAATTATATTGGAGGAAGTGGTTTCTTTTTCAATAAAATTACCACCCAACTGGTTTTCTGTACTTTATACTTTATCCATGTTGTATGTATGCTTTAGTATACTGCCCCTTAGTATACCTTTAGTTTCTTTTGACCTTTGGACAGAGACAAAGTCTAAATAAAGTAAAAGTATCATGAAAAGGAACTTTTGGGAGACTTTTACAGGCAAAGAAATTCCATAAACTCCAATAATATTCTGGACCGTATCTTCTAGGATTCTTCCAACTTCCCAACTGTTGTTGGGAGCAATGCTAATGCTGCCGCCTAGCTCCTTAATATGATCCTGAACAGTATTGACCCTGCATTTGGCTCTCTGCTTTGGGATTTCAACCAGTGACATCTGGAACTGTATATAGGCACTCATGGTTGGGCTGTAGAAGAGTCTATTCTACCTGCTGAACTCCAGAGTTCATAGAAAGCCTTAAACGTAGCGTGGTAGGCT